GCGAGTCACCAATGTCTCTCTGTGGCTCAGTTCCTCGGTCATGAGACCTCTACAGTGTGAGTGCCTACAACGATTCCTGGTTCCACCCAGCAGGAGCTATTAGCTGTGACCTCCACCTGCTGCTCGCACAGGGCCTCAGCTTCCTCATCTGTGAAATGGGGCCCATAATAGTATCGTCCTCATGTTCATACACAGATTCGGAGAACTTATTCACGGAAAGTGCTTAGATTCCTAGAACAGCAGCAGGCTGCATGCTGAGAGCTTGGGGTGTATTCTGTTTCAGCCTTAAACATGTGTGAGGGCTGCTGTCTTTTCCCGGGGATGCCTCGGACGAACTCCCCTCTAATGGTTGAGATCTGGCACCTGCTCTTCCACCTACCACCAGGGTTTTACTCCCTCTCCTCCTCTCTTAGAAGGAATAAGAACAGGGGCTGTTTTAGAGACATACGTGAGGAAGTAAATGCAGGGGCCGGTGTTGTGGCGTAGCACGTTAAGCTGCATCCCATATGAGTGCCGGTTTGGGTCCCGGCTGCTCCTTACCCAGCTCCCTGCTAATGCGCCTGAGAGAAGCAGCGGAAGATGATCCAAGTGCTTGGGCCCCTGCACCTACCCAGGACACCGGAAGATGTCCCAGGCCTGGCCGTTGCAGCCATCTGGGGTGTGAACCAGCAGACAGAAGCGCTCTCTCTCCTTCTCTGTAATTCTGCCTTTCAAATAAAACTATGAATATGAGCCAACAGAAAAGGAAGACCTTTCTCTCTGTCTCTCTCTCTCACTGTCCACTCTGCCTGTCAAAAAAAAAAAAAAAAGAAAAATAAATGCAAAAAGCAAAATCAAGAAAAATGTCTGGTGGAGAGTTAATTTCAAAAAACATGGCTGCTATTATTCCCCACTTAAAGACGAGGAGGCTCAAAGAGGTCACAGAATCCGCCTGGGCTTCCAGGCAGCAAGAGGCAGAGCAGGGTGGGGACACCTGGAACCCCGTCTCCTGACGCGGGCCCGACCTCACCCCTCCCTGGATTCTAACGCCCCAGCCTGGTCCTGGCTCCTGGTGGGTGCACAGGCAGTGCTTCCGGAAGCAGACCCAGAGAACTGGGGGCTTGCTCAGCCGGGGTTACTCCATAGGAGGCGGCAGCTTGGCCTGCAGACAGCATGAGGTGCAGCAGGTGAAGGGAAAAGACACCAGCGACCCAGAGTCTTCCTGTCCCTTCGTAGCCCGTGTTTGCTTCCTTTCTTATTTTTTTTTTAAGATTTTTTTAAAGGTTTATTTATTTACTTGAAAGGCAGAGGCAGAGAGAGAAGTCTTCCATCCACTGGTTCACTCCCCAGTTGGTCACAACAGCTGGAGCTAGGCTGATCTGAAGCCCAGAGCCAGGAGACTTTTCCAGGTCTCCCATGTGGGTTCAGCAGCCCAAGGACTTGAGCCATCTTCCACTGCTTTCCCAGGCCATAGCAGAGAGCCTCATTGGAAGTAGAGCATCCGGGACTTGGACCAGCGCCTATATAGGATGCCAGCACTGCAGGCGGCGGCTTTATTCACTATACCACAGCACCGGCTAAAGATTTTTTTTAAGTGCTTATTTATTTATTTGAAAGGCAGAGTGACAGAGAGAGAGGGAGAGACAGAGAGAAAGTTCTTCCTTCTACCAGTTCATTCCCCAGATGGCAGCAGCAAAGGCTAGGGCTGGGCCAGGTGGAAGCCGGGAGGAGCCAGTAGCTATATCTGGGTCTCCCACATGGGTACAGGGGTCCAAGCACTTGGACCATCTTCTGCTGCTTTCCCAGGCGCATGAGCAGGGCGCTAGATCGGAAGACTCCTATGGGAAGCCCGCGCCCAGCCCAGGACCCCCTGCCAACCTCCGCCTGACTCCATCGTGGGAAGCCCCTGTGGGCGCTCTCCTCCTGTTCTCTCACTTAATCCTCATAATAATCTGTGCAGAGGGTGTTTCTAGCCACTTCCGTGGAAACTAACGCTCAGAGCAGTTAAGCCGCCTGCTCAGGGTCCCACAGCGTCAGAGAAAGAACCGGAAGTGAAGCCAGGTCTTCCTGACCTGCAGCCGAGGGGCATTCCTTGAGATCAGTGTGTTCAATTGCTGGCGGCTACCGGGGTGGGGGGGGGGGGGGCTCAGCCCTGTAGGTGACAGGTGGATCCCACAGCCCAGCGCTCCTCCCCCATTCCTGGTGCAGGCCGCACACAGCTCCAGCCCCACTCTTCCCCCAGGCCCCAGTCTCTGGGAAGGGGAATGGGCAGGGGAGCGGGTGGCCGCGTCCTGCCACCAGGCCGACACTCTCCCCGGGCCGGGGCGCCAGGGCGCCAGGCGAGTGGCTATCATTTCAGCTCTCTCGTTTCTAATAGGCACTGTGCTGCCATGAAGGCTGCCATTTCCCGCTCTCACGCAGGTAATCAGCGCGCTGGCCGCCTGGAGGGCTGGCAATGGCGGGTCTGGGCACGTCTGTTAAGACTACGCCACCCTCTCCTCCTCTGCCGACCCAGGCCCTTCCATGGCCTCACGCTTGAGGACATGGGCCTAGGGTCCCCAAGAGGCCCTGGCCTGCCGTACAACGGCCTCTACTCAGGCAAGAACCATCTCCCTGCAGCCTGGCTTCCCCACTTCCCAGCTGTGTGGCCTTGCCAAAGCCTCAGTTTCTTTGTCTGTAAAATGGGGGTATGGATGCCCACCTGGAAAGGTGACGCCAGTGAGATGATTCGCCACGTGATCAGCACCGAGGGGCAGGAGCTCTGACAGGTGCGGGAGATAATCATGACGTTTGTCACGTTTTACAAATAAGGAACCTGAGACCATGGAAGGGAATGGGTTTCCCGAAGGTCACCCCGCAGCAGATCAGCAGCAAAGCCGAGCCCAGACCTGAGTTTCTAGCTCTGGGTGTCTCCACGGACTCAGGTCCCCGGTGTTTTTCTGACACCTTACTGTGTTCTGGGTGCTGTCCTATACCCTAGCTCCTCTCACTCCCACAAGGAACCAGCGAAGAAGGTGGTGTTCTCCTTCCGTGGCAGGTGAGAGGGTGGGGCTTAGGCAGGTGATTGGCATAGCCCAGCACAGGGCCTGTGGGAACTGGCCTTGCAGGGCAGCTTGAGGGAGCAGAAATGAAGCCCCCAGCTTTCCCACACAGGTACACACGCACGTGCACTCACGGACACACGCACGTGCACACATGCAGCTGCCATGATCCGGCCTGACCCAGGCTAGGCCGTTGCTTTCTCCAAGAGCTGACAAGGACAAGGCCCAGCTCGGCTCCTGCCCAGGTCCCACCAGCGGCACACCAAGGCTCAGTCCACGGTCCCTGAGGGCAGAGCTCCAGGGTGGGTGCAGTGCCCCCCAGTCAGGGAAATTAAGACCCCCGGGGTCTGTGAGGCATTTGCAGAGTGGAAGGGAAGGGACCTGGCTCAGAGAGCATGGAGATGGTGAGGGGGCAGGGAAGAGCAGGGGGCCTCCGCGCCCAGCCCCCGCCGCAGACCCTGCTCTCTGTCCATCAGCACCCCTGCCCGTCTCTGCTCTTCCCACCCCGTCACACAGTGTGGAGGTTGGTGTCGCACATGGTCAGTGCCGTTTTTCAGATGAAGAAGTTAAGCTTCATAGAATCAAAGTGACTTGTAAGAAGCGGAAGAGTGTGAACTTGAACCTGATTCAATTCCTAATGTCCAGGCGACAGTTTTTCCTCTTGTTTAATGCACTTCTTACTGTGTTGGTTCTTTTCACTGTTATTTTTTCTCCAAGTCACCAGCTCATCCTGCCCCTGCCCCCAGTTCTGCTGTGCCACCATCCAAGCATCCTGGAGGCAGGAGTCTGTTCTGTTTGTGCACTGTAGCAGGCCTGGGGCTGGTCACAACCACAGATGCAAAACCTGAGAAGCAATGGCTGCTTGGTGTTTTTTTTTTTTTTAAAGATTTATTTATTTATTTGAAAGGCAGAGTTACAGAGAGGCAGAGGCAGAGAGAGAGGTCTTCCATCCTCTGATTCACTGCCCAAATGGCTGCAATGGCTATGCCGATCCGAAGCCAGGAGCCAGGAGTTTCTTCCAGGTCTCCCACGTGGGTGCAGGGGCCCAAGGACTTGGGCCATCTTCTACTGCTTTCCCAGGCCATAGCAGAGAGCTGGATGGGAAGTAGAGCAGCCGGGACTTGAACTGGCGCCCATATGGGATGCGGCCCCTCAGGCAGCAGCTTTACCTGCTACACCACAGCACCAGCCCCTGGTGGGTTGTTCATTGAACTGCAACTGGGCCACCGTCTTGATCATGATACCAGCAACCAGCGCGGTCAATTTGGAGATTCTGTTATTGTGAAAAGGCTCACCTGAGCGATCATTATGCAAACATAAGGGCGTGCAAGAGAAAGTGGTCGTGATAACCCTTTATTATTATTACTATAATTATTATTATTATTAAGATTGCTCCACTCTTGATAACAGGGAGAGCTCTGGAGAGGGGTGGTCGGTTTGCAAGATAGGGGTTGGCGTTGTGGTGTAGCAGGTAAAGCTGCTGCCTCTCTCTGTTCCTGAAATTGAGAGCTTGACTGCTTTAGACAAAATCCTCAGGATTGCTGGGTCAGTCCAGGAGGGTGGAGGCCCCTGGATGGGCATTGAACACCCTGCTAATGAAGGCTGGGGATGAGCCAGTAACTGGGAAAATAAGGGGGCAGGTGTGCCTTGCCTTGGTGCAGCCACTGCACAAGTCGCAAGCGAGTGCACAGGCAGGGAGCACACGGGAGAGCCCTCCGCGTAGCAGGACAGCTCTGAGGTTTCTGAGGATCACGTCACCGACTGCACACACACACACACGGCACGCTACAGGTTGCAAAGCCCTTACTCATTCCCGCTCCTGCTGGGTCTGGTGCCAGCCCCGTGACAGAGCAGGGCAGAGGGTCCTCCCCAGGAGGCAGAGGCTCGGGGAGGGAGAGGACCCACCGATGGTCACACACCCATCCCGCCCCTATGCGGGTGCCCAGCCTGCCCCAGGGATGCCGGATACCTGGGCCCCGCCCTGCTCGCTCACAGCAGCATCAGGACCACGATGGCGATGATCATGAGGGCTCCGGCCAGGATGCAAAGGCCCAGGAAGATGATGTCACTGGTGTCCTGGGCCACCACGGTCCCTGAGCCCTCCAGCACCTCCGCCTCATCCCTGGGCGGCGCCTCCTGCAGGTGCTCGGCAGTGGCGGCGTAGGGCCCAAGCCAGTGGGAGCCGGACAGCAGGTGCACGGCCGCCTCCTTGCGGCGCGGCTCACAGAGGACCTCGTACTCGTGCACGTCCTCCCGCCCGGCGGCCGAGAAGTCGATGTACAGCACGCTGACGATGACCGCCGTGTTGTTTCTCCTCTGCGGGGACGCAGGGCACTGGCTCACACCTGAGGGGCCCTGGGCTGCCCCCGTTCCCCTGGACACACGGGGACGCAGCACCAAGGGGACTGAGCCCCGGCAGCCCGGGTTCCACTCCAACTCGGCCACTGGCTCCTCGAAGTTCCCCTCTGGGAAAGGGGCGCTATGAGGGTGGGCTGTCTGGAAGGACATTGTCAGACTTGACTGGACAACGTCTGCTCCAGCGTCCAGGAGCCAGGGTCAAAGAAAGCAGCAGCAACAGCAGCTAACACGTCGCATGTGACATGTAGCATGTGACATGTAGTGTGTAATATGTAACATGTAGCATGATCCAGGCTCTGTGCTGTAAGTGTATTGTTTGCTTCCCACAACAGCCTTCTCTAATTAATGTCTCCATTTTACAGATGGAGAAACTGAGGCCCAGAGGCTCATTTCCTCATCTGAGGTCACACAGCATTACAGTTGTGCCCAACTCATAACTGTGCTGTTACCTCAGAACACAGAACCCAAGGGGACTTGGTGGAGCATCAGCCGATCCCCGTGCTCAGGGATTTACAGATGGGACTACTGAGGCCCAGAAGGGCAGTAGGTTGCCCACAGCCAGGTCTGGAAGGCAAGTCTCCCGCCCCTCTGTTAGCAGCTTGTCCCTGGCGTTGCGTGGTCTTCCTCTGGAATCTTTCCTCCCAATTATGTCTGCAGCAGCTGTCCCTACTGCTGAGTCCTGGGTCACTCCAGGGACATCAGCCCAGGGTTGGGAAGAGCCAGCGAGGAGCGAGAGGTGGGGCGCCTGGTCCAGTGCTGCCCTCCTCCCCACCCGCTGGACACAGGAAACAGGACACAGGCTGCATTTGGGCCCAGGGGCGGGGCGGGGACTGCATGCGAGTCTGGAGTGGACTGGAGTGGAGGGCTGCAAGGCCACCTCCCCCTCCACACCGTTCCCCTCTCCAGGCCACCCACACTGGCCGTGTCCTGTGGGTGGCACTTCCGAGGGGAGGGGGTTTCCTACAAATCCAAGCTGCCTAAAGCAGCGAGCACCGGTGGGCTGGGTGATCTGATCCCTCGGAGGGGGGCTGCAGGGCGCCCCACCCAGAGGCTTAGGGACCAGGCGTCCGTGGGTCCCTTTCCCCTCTGCACTTCCTCTGATTCCCTGTTCTTCTGCCCGTCTTCCTCTCTACCCTCTGAGGATTTGGGGGGTGCAACATCAGGGTACAGAACAAAGTAAGACAGGATCTGGAGTGCCAGGGGCCCCAGGGACAGGCCCAGGTTAACCTGCACAATGAAGAAGGGAGGGGAGGGAGGGGAAGGTGCAAGGGGGTTTTGATGAAAGACTTGAGAAGGATGGGAAAGCCACATAGGTGCGGTGCTGACGGCTGCGAAGTCAAGTCCTTAGCAGGATTTTTTTTAAGATTTATTTATTTATTTCAAAGTCAGGGTTACAGGCCGGCGCCGCGGCTCACTAGGCTAATCCTCCACCTTGCGGCGCCGGCACACCGGGTTCTAGTCCCGGTCGGGGCGCCAGATTCTGTCCCGGTTGCCCCTCTTCCAGGCCAGCTCTCTGCTGTGGCCAGGGAGTGCAGTGGAGGATGGCCCAAGTGCTTGGGTCCTGCACCCCATGGGAGACCAGGATAAATACCTGGCTCCTGCCATCGGATCAGCGCGGTGCGCCAGCTGCAGCGCGCCGGCCGCGGCGGCCATTGGAGGGTGAACCAATGGCAAAAGGAAGACCTTTCTCTCTGTCTCTCTCTCTCACTATCCACTCTGCCTGTCAAAAAACAAAACAAACAAACAAACAAAAAAGTCAGGGTTACAGAGAAAGGAGAGACAGAGAGCTTACACCTGCTGGTTTACTTCCCAAATGGCTGCAAGCCCAGGGTTGGGCCAAGCCACCGACAAGAGCCAGGAGTTTCTTCTGAGTCTTCCTCATGGGTGCAGGGGTCCAAGGACTTGGGCCATCCTCCACTGCTTTCCCAGGTACATTAGTTGGGAGCTGGATTGGAAGTGGAGCAGCCAGGACTTGAACTGTTGCCCACAGGGGATGCTGGCCCTGTAGACGGCAGCTTTACCCACTACACCACAGTGCCGGCCCCTCTAATGGTTTTAGAAATACACAAAATCGGCCGGCGCCGTGGCTCAACAGGCTAATCCTCCACCTGCGGCGCTGGCACACCGGGTTCTAGTCTAGTCTAGTCTTCCAGGCCAGCTCTCTGCTGTGGCCAGGGAGTGCAGTGGAGGATGGCCCAAGTGCTTGGGCCCTGCACCCCATGGGAGACCGGGAGAAGCACCTGGCTCCTGGCTTCGGATCAGCGCGGTGTGCCAGCCGCAGTGCACTGGCCACAGCGGCCATTGGAGGGTGAACCAATGGAAAAGGAAGACCTTTCTCTCTGTCTCTCTCTCACTGTCCACTCTGCCTGTCAAAAAAAAAAAATAAATAAAATAAAAATAAAATAAAAAAAAAGGGAAGAAAGAAATATACAAAATCAGGGCAGGGCCATACAACATTCTGTATGGGCTCTAGTTGGAGTCCCAGCTGCTCCAGGGAAAGCAGTGGAAGATGGCCCAAGTGCTTGGGAGACCCAGATGAGGCTCCTGGCTCCTGGCTTCAGTGTGGCCTAGCTCTGGCCATTGTGGCCTTTTGGGGAGTGAATCTCTGCCTCTGCCTTTCCCTCTCTGTAACAACACCTTTCAAATAAATTAATTAATTAAAAAAAAAAAGAAGAAGAAGAAAAGAAAAGAGATACGCAAAGAGGCCCTAAGTTCTGGTGGTTCCATGACCTTGGGACCCTGAGTGTCTGCGAGCCCTTGGTTCTAGGATTTCACATTCACCTGCGAATCCACAGCCCAGAGAAATCCCCCAGAGGACTTAGAGTGTGGCATGGGGATGACAGCTGGACGTCGTGGTGGCCAGGGGGCTGGGGAGGCCGAGGGGCAGGCTGCAGGGCCCGCGGCACACGTGTGGCCAGCGCCGGGGTTTGCTGTCAAGCCAGGCTGCACCCCCATAGCCCGAGATGGGGCATCGCTCTTCCTCTCTCCCACTCTCTTCATGACCTGTCTCCTGTGGATGCATGGGGCGGGCGGGGGGGCTTGGGCCACTGCCCTGTGACCCTCCAAGGGCCCCACGTCTGGTTCACCGCATGCAAAACACAAGGCGATTAGAAAACATTGGTTTGCAAGCCTCACAGGCTCTGGCAGGAGGTGGCTGCCTGGGTGGCTGCCAGGGCTAGAAAAGCCGTGTATTGGCGCAGCCTGGGGGGTGGGGACTTGGAATGCCAGGTGGGAGGGGCCCGGGAGGGATCGGGCTCCCACAACTCCCCCTGGTGGAGAGGTGAGGACTTTAGTGGCCTGGCAGGGGGTGGGAGGTCGGGGTAGGGGAGGGAACCCCCCCCCCTCCTGGGGATGAGGGGGATGGCAAAGAACCTAGCTGTGGCCCAGCTGATGGGGCTCTCTGGAGGAGAGGCCAGCGGAGCCCCCGGGCTGGGCTGTCAGCCCGACTGGGTTCTGTGTGGTGGTCACCCTGAGCACATGTGTACAGCTAAATAAGGCCAAGAGGGGCAGCGCGCTACAGCCAGGCTGGTGGCATCTGCAGAGCCAGGAGGAGAGTTCTCTGGAATGGCAGGTGCCTTGCAGCAGGGGGCAGAGCCGCCCCCACCTCCGTGTCTCCCCCACCCCCACTCGCTGGACTCCTACCTGAGACTCGGTGCCGCAGGTGTCAAAGCGGGCCTGGATCCGGAAGTTGCCACCGACCTCCTGGGCGGCACAGCTCCGGCTGCCCAGGTAGACCTTGGTGCGCTCCAGCGGGGCCAGCGCCTGCGCCGAGATGAGGATCTGGAAGTCTGTGCGGGAGCAGCTCACGTTCATGGGCACCACTGGAAAAGAGGGAGGAGCCAGAGGCCTTGGGGCCGGCAGCTGGACCCTCTCCTCCCCGTCGTCTCCCCAGGGTGGAGGGGAAACTGAGGCGTGGAGTGGGGAAGGCTCTGTGGGATCCCACGGGGCACGATGTGGGGTATTTCCCACTCCGCCTGCCTGCCTGGAGCTCCCATTGTCCTCTACACCTAGCACAGAGCTTGGCAGGCCCAGTGAATGCTGAATGAATGAACGAATCACAATAAAGCCACTCTTTGCTAGTTGTTCTGCCATTTGCCATTCAGTCACTCAATCACTTAACAAACACCTATATTGATATCCTACTATGTTCAGGCACTATTGTAAGTGCCACAGATACAGAAATGAACCAAAAAAAAAAAAAAAAAAAAAAAAAGAGCTTCAAATGCCTGGTGGCAGTTGGGGGACAGACCGCGGCGTGTAGAATACACAGAAGCATCAGCGTGCCCGGGAGGAGCAGTGCAGAAAGACAGGGAGGAGGCAGAGGACGGCTGTGCTGTTGGGAAAGGTGGGGAGGGGAGCCCCATTTTCCCTCCCAGCCTGACCCCGTGCTGCAGACACGGCAAACCTATTTTACAGTTTCGGATGCTGAAGCTGAGAGGTGAAGTTGTTTGCAGTAGATGAGCTGGGGTTTTGACCTTGGGGTCTGCAGGATTCTGAAGTGTGTACTCTCCCCCCGACATCCGGCAGCCCCGCCCCCATGCCCTTGCAGCCCGGTGGGTGTGCATGACTCTGAGTGTCTGGATCTGCATGTGTGTGTGCATGTTTGTGCACACATGTTGTGTGTGTGTGTGTCTGTGTGGATGGGGGCAGGGGCGAGTGTGGGGAAAAGGAAGGCCATGGCTGGCAGAGGAGAGGGAAAGAGGGCTGGCGGGCCAGGGCCTGGCACTCTCAGCCCCTCTTCGGGAAATGGCTCAGACATATTTCAGCCCCTGGTGTCTGGGCAGCCAGGGATTTATGGGCCCGCCGTCTCCTGCGATGATCTCGGTGGCGCTGAACTGTGTGTCACCCCTGATTGATGCTGTGGCTGCCCTCCCCAGGGTGGGGGTGGGGAGTGAGGCTGCCTGCAGCCTGGGCTGCATCTGGAGCCCCGACCAGGGCCCGCGCCCTGCCTGCCCCAGGCTCCCGCAGGGATCGGCAGAGGGATGGAGGAGGGGCAGGCGTGGGATCCGGCTCTGTAGCCCCAGGAACAGGAACCAGGGTTGGAGCTGCCTCTGGCCCCAGTCTCTGGAGACACCGAGGGAGACAATCACCCAGAGTGGGGAGAGGATGGGAATGTCAAGGGTGAAAGGGACTTCAGAACCTTCCAGTCCGCGTCCTCATTCGCAAGTGGGAGGACTGACCCCGAGAGAGGGCGGGACATACCAGCCCTCCCACGGTGGGGGGGGGCAGAATCAGGGAGGGGCTTGTCCCAGCAGAGCCCTGGCTTCCCGGCCTAGCTTACACAGCTCAGGGGGACTGGCACTGCCCAGGGTCATGACCCCACCACCAGCTTGCTGCCCGCGGGACTGCAATGAAGCCCTTTGTCGTTTCCCATCTGCACAACAAGGAGCTTGGCCAGGTTAGGCAGAGGGCACAGTGGGTCCAGGGCACAGGCACTGAGGGCCCATAGCCCATGGAAGGGTGTTGGGAAGAGAGGGGAGAGGGTGGCGTTCTTGGCTGACAAATCTAACCAGTGCCATGGAGATGTGGGAAAACACTAAGCACCCACGTCCCTCAGCCTCCTCTGCAGTACGGCGTGGTGTCGCTGGGGTTCACACTGAGACACAAGAAAGCAACTTGGGAAGATTCCGGGATTGCTTCTGCTTTCCTAATAAAGGGATACTGCGGCCGGCACCTCTCCCAGCCTTGAACACAGATACCATGCCTGGAGTTGTGGCAGCTACTCTGCAACCATGAGGCTAAGAGAATCCCAGAGATACCCCTGGAAACAGTGCTGAGCCCGAGCAACACAGCGGCTGCCCAGCCCCAGACTTCTTGTTGTGCAATGAGTCAGTATTTCTGAATGATACAAACAGGGCTGGCGGGCATCTGCATGGCTAGACCGACTATTTGCCATAAACCATCTAACTGTGTTCTGTGTGTTAGCCCTGGATACCAGAGAGCAACCACAATGCAAGAGAGGCCAGGAGCCCAAGGGAGGCAGGAGCCAGACGGGGAGGATTAGGAGGCACAGGGTTAGGCGCTGGGAAAGGAGGGCCCTGCAACAGGGGAAATATGCAAGGGCCACGCCACTGTGGCCTCTGAGGTCGCAGACACCTGCGGTGGTGAGAAGGGAGTGGAGGAGAGCCCGCGTGCGGATCAGGGTGGACAGTGGGCTGGAGGCAGGCGCTGTAGCTACCAAGCACTCCCCGCCCAGGGCCCCCATCCTCTTGCCCCAGCTGACCTCCAATGTAGGCCACAGAGAAGCCCCTGCGGGTGGTGCTGCGGTCCGTGTGCAGCAGAAGCAGGAGCTGGTTGTGGCTGGAGGTGACGGGCGGCGGCAGGTGGTGGCCGCACCAACTCCCCAGCAGGGGCGCCTCCTCGCTGGCCCCATCGAAGGCTGCCAGATGGTCAAAGTCGCAGGTCCTGGTCAGGCTGTTGGGTTCTTCCAAATCCAGGTCCAGGAAGAAGACCTTGACCCGGTAGCCAGGAGGCAGGCGGATGGTCCAGTGACACCGGATGTTGTTGGGGTAGGAGCCGGGGTACTGCGGGCTGGAGAAGTTGCCCCGCACAGCCACGAACACCTCCTGGCACTCTCCTAGGTGGGGAGGAGAACGTAGCGAGGGTGAGGAGGGTGGAAGTCACCCTCTGCAGCGACAGCTTAGGCAGCAGGTGCACAGGGCCATAGTGTGGCCAGCACACTAGACATTTGATCCCAAAGCTTGCTTTCAACTGAAACCAGCAGCAAGCTGCTTCTCTCATGCCAGTTAGCAAACCCTTTCCAGAGTGGCGGCCCTGTAAGGGTCAGTGACAACCCCCGATACCCCTCTGCGGCACTCAGCCCAGACCCCCTGGCCCAGCAGACAAGGCAGCTGGAGACGCGGCCTTGCCCCTTCCTCACGGTGCCATCCAGCCCTGCATCCCGGCCTCAACCAGCATCTCCCAGGACTGCAAGCCTGCCGCACACTCTCTGTCCTCCACGCCTTGCACCTGCGGTTCCTCCTGCTTGGAACCCCCTTCCCTTTCTTCTGCCTCTGGCTAATTCCCTCAAAGCACTGCTCCATTCTCTCCTGCCCCAGGAAGTCACCTATGGTTCTTACTGTTAGCACAGAACACAGCGGGCGTTGCTGTCTGCATCCTTACTCGTTTCCCCTACCAGACAGTGCACTCCCCACAGGTGCGCTCATTCCTCTGTACCAGTGTTAGTTCGCAGAGGAGGTGGCGTGGCCTCCGCCTTGGCATTGGCCGGGCAGGCAAGGCTGGGCTGGAGCACAGCAGGCAGCCAGAGAGCTGGAGATCTGGGAAGCAGATGCGCGGGGCGTGCCCACAGCTGGGCGCGGGGCCCCAGCCCTGTACCTGAGAAGTAGTAGGCCTTGAAGCCCCGGCCTCCGATGTTGAAGTCAGACTTGAAGACCACCTGCAGCTCGTGGCCCAGCGACACCAGCGTGGGGGGCCCGGTGCTGCCGCAGTAGTGGTGCCCGTGGGTGGGGCTGGGCCCCCCGAGTACAGCCACGTAGTCATAGGTGCACTCCTCACTGCCCTCCACCTGGAAGTCCACGAACGCCAGCTTGACGGTGGCGGGGCCGGCGGCCCGGATCACCCAGCGGCACTCCACGCTGTTGGGGTAGTTGTTGGGGTACTCGGGGCTGGTGAGGACCCCCGAAAGGCCGGTCAGGACGCCCCCGCACACATCTGTAAGGGAACCCACCTGAAATGACCTTTCTGTCTCCCCGCGGCTCCCAACCACTTCCCCTGAGAGTCAGACCCCACCCCCGGCAGGCTGTCCCCAGCACCGGGCGCTGGCCACGCAGCAGGCCCAGTCCTCGCACCTGGCACCCAGGCCGTCGCGGCAGCCCCTGTGCCGTGGGTCCCCCCACCTCACAGCTGAAAGCAGAGGCACAGAGAAGTTAAGGCACTCACCTGGCAGGCCCCAGGACAGGGATTTAGTGGGAGACTGGGGACCCTGGGGGTGGGGAGAGTGAGGGAGGGGAACAGGGGCAGGGAGGTGCGGTCAAGCCCTCCGGGGGACTCTGGGCTTGGTGGAAAGCAGCAGAACTGTCGCCCTAAGAGGGAGGGAACTGGGGTACTCACACAGCAAGCCCCGAGGGCTGCGGGGGGTGTGGTGGGAAAGCGTCCTCAAAGACTGGTGGCTACAGGGGCACAGTGGAGGGACAAGGCTCAGGGGACAGGGCCAGCAACTGGGCAAGTGGATTTGAACCCAGGCACACTCACTACATAGCCCGTGCCCTCGGCCATGTGCTCCTCGCCATCCACTGCCACTGGCCGCTGGGGCCCACCTCTCTAACGGACGAGGAAACTGAGGCAGGGAACTCAGGCCTGGGGTCTGAAGACAGCCAGCCTCTGGGTTCTGCTTTGGAGAAACTGTGTGGCCCTGGACATCCTGGACAAGCAACCCAGCTTCTCGGAGCCTCATCGGAATATCAGGATCCCGAGGAGCTGGCATTGTGGCCCGGCAGGCAAAGCCACCGCCTGCAGCACCAGCAGCCCATACTGGCAAAGGTTTGAGTCCTGGCTGCTCAACTTCCGATTCAGCTCCCTATTGATGCGCCTGGGAGGCCAGTGGAAGATGGCCCAAGTGCTTGGGCCCCTGCACCCATGTGGGAGACCCAGAGGAAGCTCCTGCCTCCTGACCTCGGTCTGCTCCAGCCCCAGCTATTGCCATCATCGGGGGAGTGAACCAGCTGATGGAAGACTCTCTCTCTCTCTCTCTCTCTCTCTCTCTCTCTCTCTCTCTCTGTAACTCTGCCTTTCAAACACATAAAAAACAAAATAAAGCAAATAAATTTAAAAGACGGGCCCAGACGGACGGGCTGGTCTCAGCCTCGTGTGCTCTAAGACACTGCTGAGGGCCTTAGGAAGCAAGGCGGTGACACGACGTGAGGTGGGCATCGGCGGACGCCAAGACCTGCTGGAGGTGGCCATCAGGGATGTCTTTTTTGAGACTCCAGCCTCTTACCCCTCTCAGAGCTGCATGACCAGAGCACTGCCCTGGAGGGGTCTGAAGACTGTGTGACCTTGGGAGGCGCCCTCCCTCTCTGATCTCAGCTTTGTTGTCTGCGACACGACAGGGCGGCTGTAGGCCGTGAGCTCCCTTCTGGCTCCAGTAGCCTCACCAGGGACCAGCGCCAGGTGCACGCTTCATTCTAGGCTGTATTTCACACTATGTTTTAATGCAGGGGTGGCACCGTGGATTAAGCTGCCACTTGAGCCATCCCGTATCAGAGTGCCAGTTTGAGTCCTGGCTCTTCTGCTTCTGATCCAGCTTTCTGATAATGTGCCTGGGAAGACAGTGAATGATGGCCCAAATACATAGGTCCCAGCCACCCATGTGGGAGACCCAGGTGGAGTTTCAGGCTCCTGGCTTCTGCCTGGCCTAGCCCAGGCTATTTCAGTAGTGAACCAGCAGGTGGTTCAAATGCATAAGTAAGTCTTTAAAGAAAGATTTGGAAAACATGGCCATGGTGGGATGAGTTTTATATGCTACTTTTCTAAAAACCCAAGGCTCTGGGATTCCAAACCTCTGAGTAGACCAGCCTGTGAGTCCCACAGTGCTGCAACCTGAAACACTACAGGAAGCTGGCGTCCCTCCCGAGGGCCCAGAACAGCTGTTGATGGAGCCAGGGCCCAGGAGGCTCTGCAGCTGTCCATCACTTGAGCTGAACAAGGATATGGCGTTGGCCTTGGGAGAAGGGAGCAGGTTAGATTGCAGAAGCCTGCAGACAAGGAGAGAGGCGGGCAGAACCAGGATCCCTTCACAGGTTGGGGGGCAGGGGTCCAGCCAGATTGAGGCCGGTTAGGGACCCACCCTATATGAGGGGGTCTTCAGAAAGCTCACGGGAAATGCATACCATGACAAAACCATGCCTGGATTTCAACAAACACTTGCATTAAAATAAACTGATGGTTTAATTCCATTTTCCCCTGTGCCCTTTGAAGGCCCCTCATCCGAGGTAAGTGCAGGAAAAGACTTTGGTGGGGAGGGAGTCAGCAGCTCCACGCAGACCCTCAGCCACCTGCTATGGCAGCGGTGGGGGTGGCGGCAGTGATGTCCCCTGCTGCAGCCTGACACTGTGACAGCAGTGAGAAGGACAGGAACAAGGGGCCTGAAAGGCCTGGTTCTGAGCACAGAGAGACACTCCAGGGCTGCAGGAGTGAGGGAGGCAGCTGGGGGGCTATTCCCTGAAGATGGAACCCAAGGTTGCAAATGTGGTCACCAACGTGGAGGAAGTGGCTGTTGCCCTGTGCATGGGAGGACCCGGGGCTCAGAGCAGTCTCCCTGATGGATGCGGAGCCCCTGCAAGTCTCACCTGCACCCCCACTGCCCTGCCCCCACCCCAGGGCGGCCTCTCCACTGCCAAGTCCCCCCTTGACCTTTCTGGTAGCCTGCGGAGAAGCCGCGGCTGGCCACATGCTTGTCCGAGTGGAAGACCACAGACATGACGTGCCAGGAGGAGGTGAAGGGCGGCGGGGGCACCCGGCCGCAGAACCTCCCCAGCAGGTTGCCCTGCTCCCCCGAGGCCCCGTTGTAGATCTCCAGGAAGTCGAAGCCGCAGGTGTCGTGGTACTCCAGGTCGAAGGCGTGGAAGGTGAGCAGCACAGACGAGCCCTCGGCCACCACGATCAGCCAGCTGCACTCCGTGTTGTAGGGGTACAGTCTGGGAAAGTTGGGGCTGGAGAAGTTTCCGGCAGGTGCTGAGAGCACACCCCCGCATTTGACGCCTGCAGCCAGAGAGAGGGGCGGGTGGGAGTCAGCGCTTCGGGCTTGGGAACACGTGGCCTGGATGTGGGTGCAGCTGCGCGCCCAGGTCTGTGGGGTGGGCTTAGGGCGCCCAGGCCAGGGCCCTAAATGCATTTACTTGTTCCTCACATTCTCCTCTAGCACTGAGCAAGCTCTGATCATATGGCATCGTTCAAAACAGACAAACGCCTGCCCCGTGAAACTGCTGTGCTGGTGGGAAAGACCAGGAGCATAACCAAGGTGTCCCGTGTAGGAAACAGTGACAAGGGACCTGGAGAAGACGAGCAAGTCGGTAAGGGAGTGTGGGGGATGGGCTTATATATATATCTATATATATCTATATATATAGATATAGATAGATAGATATAGATTTTAGATAAATGCTGCCATGTTCCAGCCCGAGCTTTGCGCTCTGGGGAATGTAAAAGTTAATAGTAAGCACCACACCCCTCGCGTGCACGGTCTATGCGTGTGAAAAGTGCATTCTAGCGGCTGGCGCTGTGGCATAGTAGGCTAAGCTTCTGCCATATGGGCACTGGTTCAGGTCCCAGCTTCTCCACTTTGATCCAGCCCTCTGCTATGGCCTGGGAAAGCAGAAGAAGATGGCCCAAGTGCTTGGGCTCCTGCACCCGCGTGGGACCTGGAAGAAGCTCCTGGCTTTGGATCAGCTCAGCTCCGGGTGCTGTGGCCATTTGGGGAGTGATCCAGCGGGTGGAAGACCTCTCGGTTTCTGTAATTCTACCTCTCAAATAAATAAATAAAATCTTTAAAAAAAAAAAAAGTACATTCTAGGGGCAGGTGCTGTGGCATAGTAGGCTAAGCCTCTGCCTGTGGCGCCGGTTCGAGTCCTGGCTGCTCCACTTCTGATCCAGCTCTCTGCTAGGGCCTGGGAAAGCAGAGAAGATGATGGCCCAAGTCCTTGGGCCCCTGCACCTGCATGGGAGACCCAGAAGAAGCTCCTGGCTCCTGGCTTTGGATCAGCCCAGCTCCATTGTGGCCATTTAGGGAGTGAACCTGTGGATGGAAGACCTCTCTCTCTGTCTCTCCATCTCTCGTCTGTAACTCTGCCTCTCACATAAATAAAAAAAAAAAAGTACATTCTAATAGGTCCACATTCGCTTGTATTTTAAACAGGAAACAAGAGAAGGAGACTAATGAAAACACTTTTCTTGGCACGATGCAAGACCTCTTTAAATGTCATTTGTTTCGTAACTGACTTCACAATCATGTAAAACATGTCATTTTCAAAGATCAACAAAATTTTCAAAGTGACCCCTAAATATCCCAAGCCGAAATGAAAAAACTGTACTTATCAACTTGGAGGCCTAGCCCTATGGGGAAAATGCTTTCAAGTGACTTTGAAATACAGTGGTTGGGCTTCAAGTGTGGGAAATCAGTATTTTCCCTGTACCCTTCCCCACACAGGAATGTGTAATCAAAAGCAGGCAAAAGAGCAAAATGAGCCACAAGGAACCTCGAACTACCGGGGCGGGCGTTCGGCCCAGCCGTTAAGGCACAGCTCGGGGTTCTGCATCCCACCCATGAGCGCCAGCTCTGCTCCTGTCCTGGCTTCCTGCTGATGTGCACCCTGGGAGGCAGCAGGTGACGGCCCACGTAGCTGGGTTCCTGCCGCACACGTGGAGACCCAAATTGAGTTCCAGGCTCCTGCCTTTGGCCTGGTCCAGTCCCAGCTGTTACGGCATTTGTGGAGTAAAGCAGTAGATGGAAGGGTTCTCTTTGCCTCTCTCTCTCTCTCTCTCTCTCTCTCTCTCTCTCTCCCTCTGCCTCTCAAGTAAATTAAATAAATAGAACACACACAAAAAAAGAAAGAAGTCTTGAACTATATCCAGTAGATCTATTATTAGTAATAATATTAAATATGTTGCTGTACATACATTTAAATAAAGCAGATAAGAATGCTGATGTCAGTAGAAGTGGAAACTTTTAGTAGGAGATAAGAGATATGATGATAAAATAAAATATTAAAAAATAAAATATTAATATATCAATATAAAATATAATATATAAATATTAAAATAAAAGTGTTGGTATGAATTTAAGATTTACTTTTATTTCTAAATAAGTGAGCTGGCCTGTTCTGTTCACCAAACAGACCTAGAAATGACAATATTTCAGCAACATTTTACGCCCTCAGCCCACGAGTGGGATTATTAGGCCTAATGAACCCTTAGAGAAACGGCGGGCGCTAGGTCCGTGCTGGAAACAGCACACAATCTGCTTGGGTCTCTCGTCCTGCCACACGGCAAAGATCCCAGCACAGTCTGCTGGAACTGCGTTCAAGCCACAGGCGCCGCCCTGAAGGGGCTCCCGGGGCTGAAGAAGGCACAGCTGAGCATCAGAATACGGAACAGGGAATGCGCACAAGCTCAGGAGCCCCCACGTGCACGCACACCCCTCGCGGAACGGAGGTGCGACACGGCCCCAGCTTCGCAGGCGGGCGAGTGATCTCAGAGGGTCAGAGCAGCGCAAAGTCACCTGGGACTGTGGTGCAGGCAGAGGGCTCTGGGAGCCCCAGGGAGGGAGCGTCAGAGGCGGAGGAGGGATGTGGAAGGCTTCATGGAGGAGGTGACTCAGTGGGGATGGAAGAGAGGCCTCCTAGGCAGAGGGCTTCAGGGCTCAAGAACCCAAGGGTGGAGCATTTCCGGAAAGGTTGTGATTGCCCTGCCAGAGCACAGTGTCCCGGGACCCGGGGAAGTGAGGCTCCACAGGGCGTGGAGATTGGAGCCGACACTCAGAGGACGCTGAATGTCACAACAGGGATTTCCCTCAGGAGCAAGCTCTCGGAGGGAGAGGAGAGGCCCTTCCTGCACTAAACCTTCCCTGGTTCTCTGGGCCATTCCCTCGCTCTCAGTAACCGTTCGGCCTCGGAGCGCCCTCCGTTTCCTCACCTGTAAAATGGGAGGCTATCACCTACCTTGAAGTCTTAGATGCAATCAAACATATAGAAGCATCCTGCACACAGCAGGCACTCAATAAATAGTCCTCTCGTGTCTCAGAGGCAAACACATCCTCGACACAGCCAGCTGCTTCTGAAAGAGCCTCCTGTTCTGGCTTCCCACCCTGAGACCCGGCCTGCCGCCTGCTCACCTCTCACCCCCAACCCCTGGCTCCCAGCTGTCTCCGGAGCGCCTACCTTTCATGGCGTGGGCCCTGGGACCTGGGCTCAGCAGGGCCACTGCCAGCAGCAGGCAGGACCCCAGCCCTGCCGGCATCTCCTCACCACGGGTCCCACGGGGCGGCCAAGCTCCCAGGGGCCGGGATCCCAGGTCTTCAGTGGGGGAAAGAGAGGTGAGGCTGCGAGGGCCTCTGAGTTAATGGCGCCGTGAATAATTCATCGGCCCTCGAATTAGTAAGCGGATCCCCAGGTGCTTCCCTCCCTCGACGCTAAGGTGACTGATCTGGTGTCACCAGGTTGACACGTTCTGAGACCTGCACTGGCCGCCCTGCCTCAGGGAGGGGACCCACACGGGCCTGGAAGGAAATCGGGGTGGGGGGTGGAGAAAGGGACCTTGAACAAGACACGTCACTCCTGTGGGCTTGGACTTGTCATCTGTCCAATGGAGCCATTCAGCCCTGTGGGCAGCGCTGCTCTGCGAATGAAAGGCTAACGCACACGGTAGGGGCTTGCCAGGTCCCACCTCTGGGGGGTCTGAGAGGGGTCTGAGAGGGGCCAACAAGGCGTGAGGATTTAGCTCAGAAGCAGAGAGGAGGGGGTTGTTGTGGACAGCCGATGAGGGACAAGTCCTGTTCCTGGACAGACACGGCAGGAGTAGCAGAATTGGAAAATCGGAATGGCACTTGCCGCTCTGATGCAGTGCTGGTTCTGGGCCACGTGCCGTTCTGGCCGGCATAGTGAGCATTCGCTCTTTTACTGGCGCCCGAGCCCCGTGGGCAGCGCCCTGGGTTGGGAGCTGGGCTGCAGGAAGGCCCTGGGGGCTCCGAGTCCTGCAGGCACCCTCTGGGTGCCTTCCAGTTTAACTCAGCTCAGCCCAACACGGCCTTCTCAGCTCCTGCTCTGTGCAGAGCCTGTGCCAGGCATGGCGGCATCAAGGGGAAGTGCGGCACAGTGCTGCCCTCCTGGTGAGGAGCCAGGCTCTGGCTTCTGGCAGATGGAGGTCTGAATCCTGGTTCTACCACTGGCCGTGGCAGCCTGGGAAAGTGCCTCTCTCGAGCTCCCTGGGTCGCAGAAGAGTGGAAGCCGGAGCCTTGTCTGCAGTGAGGGTAGCTGACATAGTGCGTGGGAGGTCCCGGCCAGCGCCTGGCTCAGCGCGCAGGAACCAGGATAGTTTTCATTTACCCTAGAGGTGCCTCACCTCCACCTGCCAGGCTGCACCTGGCCCCTCCTCTGGGAGGAAATCCCTGGGGAGCCCCTGGTTGCCAGCAGGGAGAGGCCATGGGGAGAAGTCGAGCCAGGAGCATCAGAGTGGCTCACCCACCGGCTTGATTGACAGGAAAGAAAGGCTGGGTTGTTCTGGGCAGTGGGAGGAGATGGAAGCTTTTATTCAACACCCACTGTGTGTGCAAGAGAAGGGGGCAGGGAGAAGGAGCCAAGCGGGGTGCCAGGCACACGGTCGGGACCCTCACGCCGGTCATGGGGGTGCAGCCTCTATGCTTGCAGCACAGTCTGCTCCCCGTTGGGCAGGTGCGCAGCTGAAGAGCAAGGCTTGGAGCCATGGTCCTGGGCTGAGTTCTCTGCAAGAAGACTTGCTTGTGACGAGGGGCTCATCCCGGGGGGAGGGGTGGGGGGAAGTCCCAGGCAGCACAGGTCGGGAAAGGAAGCCAGGATGGGCACCAAGTCAGGCCAGGGTGTGCTGGTGCGCGGGTCACCGCTGTGCACAGTGGGCACTCCGGGGAGTCGGTGTAGACTACACCTGCAAATTGTGCCACCTGGGACAAGGAAGCAGAGGGCCCATCTACCAGCTCCAGCTGCCCCTGCCGAAGGCTGCTCTCAGGGCCGGATCTTGAGGCCTTTCCAGCCTGGGCTGCAGGCAGGAGCTGCGTGCACGCCAGGGAGTTGTGAGTGCGGGGACCAGGCCCTCCTTAAGAAAGGAATATCACCCTTCCTGTGACTGCCTGTGGACTTGATGGTCCCGCCTCTGAATCGGTTGTCCCTGTTCCTGGCACAGCCGCCTCTCCTCCTCTCCTGCAGTCTTTCCAAACACACCCATCCCTGGTAATTTCCATGGTAACCCACGGACCCACAAAACCAACAGTGCCCAAATGAGACTCCTCACTGCCTCCCAGCCGCACCCTTGTCCTCTGGTGCTTCTCGTTCAGCCAGTGGCACAAGCAGCCTGCACAGCCCAGGTGCGGGAGCCCAGCTCCCTGGCATCCACTGCTCACACCTGAGCAGTCACCACGTTTGCCTCTGGAATGACTTTTTAATGCCCCCCCCCCTTATTTAAAAGGCACAGAGAAAGAGACACAGACAGATCTTCCATTCATAGGTTCACCCTGCCAATGTCTGCGACAGGTGGGGCTGGGCCAGACCAAGCCAGGAGCTAGGAACTCCATCTGGGTCTCTTATGTGGGTGGCAGGGGTCCATCACCTGCTGCCTCCCACGGTGTTCACTAACTGGAAGCCAGAATCAGAATCAGGGCCAGGACTCAAACCCAAGCATTCAAGGGTGCAGACACCCCAAGTGGCATCCTAACCCCTGTGCCAAACGCCTGCCCCTGAAGTGACTTCTGACACTGTCACCACCCATGCTCACCCTGTCTCCTGCCTCCCCATGTGTCTCTCCTCCTGCCTGCACCCTGCCCACCCCCAAACCACTGTCTGCTCAGCTTTCTAACACACTATGGCACTCCTCAGCTCAGGATAAAACCCAGAGTTCCCAGGGCCAGCGCCATGCCATAGCAGGTTAAGCTGCCGTTTGCAGTGCCGGCATCTCATATGGGCGCTGGTTCAAGTCCCGGCCGCTCCACTTCCTGTCCAGCTCCCTGTTCATGTCCCTTCAGATCACCTCTCGGACTTTCCCCAGCCAGAGTTCCCCAGCCTGGCCCACTGACACTTCCCCTCTGCCTGGAGCCCGGGTCACCTTCTCTCTGCACCATTGTCCCCGAGTGTCACGCTCACTCATCCTTCAAGATAACTGTCACCTCCTGCCCTCCCCTGCCCCTACCCTCCAATGCTGGGAGTCTTCCTCCGGTGCCTGGCGCCTGCGCTCTGGCTGGCTGGTCTCCCCACAGATACCCTCTGTCCTCTCAGCTTTCATTCTGGTGCTCGTGCACAGCTCCGCCCAGAGCCCATCCTGTCCCTCGTCTCTGCACGTCCCAATGCTCAGCCGCCGATTATGGCCGGAGTGCTCAAGAACACACAGCAGGCCGGCGCCGCAGCTCAATAGGCTAATCCTCCGCCTAGCAGCGCCGGCACACCGGGTTCTAGTCCCAGTCGGGGTGCTGGATTCTGTCCCGGTTGCCCCTCTTCCAGGCCAGCTCTCTGCTATGGCCAGGGAGTGCAGTGGAGGATGGCCCAAGTACTTGGGCCCTGTACCCCATGGGAGACCAGGAGAAGCACCTGGCTCCTGCCATTGGATCAGCACGGTGCGCCGGCCGCAGCACGCCGGCCGCGGCGGCCATTGGAGGGTGAACCAACGGCAAAAGGAAGACCTTTCTCTCTGTGTCTCTCATTGTCCACTCTGCCTGTTAAAACACACACACAAACGCACAGTGAGGAAGTGCTCTTGTCAACTTGAACCTGTGTCCATCCAGGTTGTTTTAACCTTGACGCCTTAGTCCGTTCAGGCCACTTGAACAAAATAGCATGGAGTGAGGGTCTTACAAACAACAAAAGTGTGCCTCCCACGGTTCTGCAGGCTGCAAGGCCGAGGGCCCGTTTCCTGCTCGCAGATGCACCTTCTCACTGTGTCCTTACGCGGTGAAAGCAGTGCCTTTCTCTCTTTTTTTTTTTTGAAAGATTTATTTATTTATATGAAAGGCAGAGCAACAGAGAGAGCGGGAAAGAGAGAGAAAGAGAGAGAGAGAGAGAAAGAGAGAGATCTTCCATCCGTTGGTTCACTCTCCAAATGGCTGCAGTGGCCAGGGCTGGGCCAAGCCGAAGCCGGGAGCCAGGAGCTTCTTCTGGGTCTCCCACATGGGTGCAGGGCCCAAGCACTTGGGCCATGCTCCGCTGCTCTGCAGGGAGGTGGATCAGGAACAGAGCAGCTGGGACTCAAACAGATGCTCCGATAGGCGATGCCAGCATCACAGGTGCCCCAAGGGGTCCCTTTCACGCGCACTAAACCCTGGGCACTGGGGACCTGCCGACCGCTGCAGCTGAGCCTGGAGGACTCACTCTCAGACGTCCAGGGGTATCTTCACATAAGACTGCTCTCTGCTCTGGCTCTGCTGCACCTTGGAGCTGGGGGACATGGAGTTACTCTTGAAGGGATGTGGGCTCTGTAAGGCCAGGAGTCGGCACCCAGGATGGAGGGTGGGAGCCCGCAGGCCTGCTGTCACTGGCCATGTGCATGCTTCCATCTCTGGGTGTTCACGTGTCGTCATCTGGCCATGCTGTGGCCTCAGCATGAGGCCTGTCAGTACCCAGGCATCCGGCACGGAGGGGACGAGTCTGTATGTGCCTATCCTTTGCCTTTGAGTGACTGTGTGCACCACTGTGCATTCGACCTGCACACCCACAGGGCACCCCTGTACCACACCTGGATCGCACAGTACTCTGTGCGTAACTGCGGACCACATGTCAGTGTGTATATGCCCCCTGCGGGCTGCATTCAACTCTTTCCGAGTGATGTCCCTCAGTGTGCATGCACTCATGTCCATGTGCAAGGTCATGGCTGGGTGTGAGCATGGTTATCCCGGGACTGTGCACCCTCTGTCTGCAGACATCTGTTTGCACGGTGCAGTCTCTGCTGGTGTGCACACAGATGTGTGTGTGCACATCTGTGCCCAGCGGACATCCCATGAGCGCGCCCTATTCCGTCCGCACCCTGTGACTCTCTGAGAGTGCACATCTACAGCTAGTTTTTTCTTCGTGTCTGTACTCTGTCACTGGCTGCCAGGAGAGGGCTGGTGCCTGTGGGACACGAGTGTGATGCCCAGTGCTTCCTTTTCCACAGAGGCTGGGCTGACAAAGGGGTGTGGCAGAGCGGGGAGGGGCTCCGCCTTGGGGAGTTCCGGTGAGGCCCCAGGGACCACACCCCTCCCTCCACAGGGGTGCCGTGGGTGCATCAGGGAGCAGCACCCACTCTGC